GCCCTAATAGGTAAAAGACGGGTACAACAGAACAGGCTTTATTGACCAATCAGAAGCCAGAGCCACGCGTCAGGCGCCTTTCATCCGAGTCCACCACACTGGCCACGCCGCTCACTATATACTGCTCGTCAGTCGTGACCTTCTCTGGTTGACTGCCTTCCATTCCCGCATGCCATTGGATCGCAGAGAGACACGGGATTGGCTGCGGCCAGGTGGTCCAACATGTCTGCGCCCTAATCCGACGCCACACCACACCACATCCCACTTAGCGTTTTCGTTAAAAATGTTACTTAGTAGACGCTTCGGAAGCGTTAACTCATACAATTTACTCTTTTTTGTCCATTCATCTACACTTTCTTCTTGTTTTTTTAATTATTTTTTTTGCGTTCGTGCCTTCAAACTCATCGAATCCTTATATCCTGCCAAACCATGCCCTAATAGTCCGCCTAAGTTCAATTTGTTCTGCGGTATTGCCCATTGTATTTTGGGTAAAGAAAACCTCGCATCCTATGTTACCATTCCCGTGTCATGTCATCGATAGCTACGATCAAAAATTCCATTTCGTGTGCCTGCCTGAAACTACCAAATTTTGACCCTTAATCAAGTCCCTTACTTGACATGCTATTTATGCTGCTTTGCATGGGATTTACCTCCTGCAATCCTGATCTATGTTTGTTTTTTTTAAGATTTGCCAGAAGCTTCTGAAGATAGTGATTTGCGTCATTTCCCCCCAAAAACTCATGTTATCGTTGTTCCTGTATTAAGCTCCATTTCTAACAATGTATTCCGATATGCGATCGAATTATGGGAGTAGTATATATCCTTTTTAGTTCTACGAGCTGTTACCACCCTGCCCTTGCCCATATCGCTTACTTGAATGTGTTCTGTATCCAGTCAGACGCCCATCAGCATTCTTCAGGAAATTAGCGTAAAAAAATGCATCACAGTCAGTTACGAACTTGTAGCGAATGAAGGCCAAGCCCACGAACCCATTTATGTTTATCAGTGTAAAGCAGGGAAGGTCGCCGCTATCGGAAAAGGTGGTTACTAACGTTTTTCTCCTGTGCCATTTTATTCGAATTTTTTTTTTTGAATTTGAGCTGTGCTTGTGCAGCTATTGTTTCACATGAGGCCGCGACTGCATTCCCTACCTAATTATATTTTATCGGCTACCATTGTTTCGTCGGTTAGGCGGTGAGAATGATCATGTTTTACTAAGGCTGTTGTTGTATTGTAGATTAGCGATTTGCGCTTTGATACGCGAAGTTATTTGATTCGAGAAATTGTACTGGCAGCACATTTGCTGCTGCCAGTACAAGCCGCCAAGAAATTAATTTTTCTTGCAGCAGTCCCTATTGATTCAGAAACGATCAGAAGTAAAGCGTTATCTTCTCAGAATTTTTTACTGCCATTTAGGTCCCATCACAAAGTCACATTATTTTGAAGTGTTTGTTGGATGTCCTAGTATTAATTTTCATATCTAACAGGCATTGTACCGCGTCAAAAAACACTAGACAATAAATCCGAGGCTTGTGCTCTACAAGTGTTCATTGGACAAGTAATGGCCTTTGTTTTTTGTGAATATTCCTTGATCACTAACCTGAAGCAAGAAGATTTATATGCATCAATATAATCGGTTTGCGTGTGCTCACTTATCTAGGAGTGGTTGTGATTTCAGCTCACTGCGCATTTATATTGTCGAACATTCATATCATTACTTTTAAGGTGCCAGCAAAAAAAAAGCCAAGCACCTGGCTTCCTATTATGTCCTACTGAAACTTCTCGGAGACAATCCATCAACACAGAATGAGAGGATCCTTCTGCAAACTCTTCACGCCTCCGCGGCTTCACTTCTTGGCGTTGAGTACTGTGATTCCACCACTGTGGATCGTGGAGATGGAGCAGACGGCAACGTTGCCTCGATGCCACGAGCTCCTGTCAACTTCGTCAGCAAGGTGCAGGAACACTGTGACAAAAACATGTGGCCTCCTCCTACTTACGAATTTTCCGAGTGTCCACCAAGTCTTTATGGTGGGAAATATCAGTGCAAGGTCCGTCTTTGGCGGTGGGAGTATATAGGCTTCGGTGGTTCAAAAAAAGAAGCAAAGAGAAAGGCTGCTGCAGAACTTTTGAAGGAAATAGTGGAGCAAGGCCTTACTATCCCACCGGATGCTCTTGAGGCTTTGGAGGAGGCGAACCTACCTCTGGTAGAAAAACAAGATCTTAACACATTAAGAAATAAACAAAGCAGTGACGAAAAGGCCTCAATGATGGCGAGAAAGATCTGCTCCGGGGTGTTTACTAACCACGGAAAATTAAAACAAATAGCTATCGATAATCTCTGTTCACCATCCCTCGACGTCTACGCCACGTTGGAGCGAATACTCGAGGAAAAGAAGCTCACTGTATTTTATTCATACACGAACATGACAGAATCCGGTAGGTAAATAGCATTATTTGTCAAATTTTGACCGGATATGCCATACAAAATCGGGAATCATTTGTATGCGAATCTGGGTTATCTCTAGCTTCGTATTGCAGCAATCAGAGTCCAAACAAATCCTTATGGTTAAAATATGGTCTGCTTAAAATTGTTAGCTGGACTGCCAAATTTTGTAACTGACTTTTTACAATCCCCGTCAATTTTTTGTTGAAAATTTTCTACCGCCCAAAATTTGCCTCATCTTGCACAGATATTGCTTGATGCTTCAAACGCCATTTCTTAATTCACCATGAGGGACTTATGTGACTGGTCTATCTTGTAGGTAACATCTACTGTCAAGCGCAGTTGTCCACAGTTCCCCCACAGGTAACATGCAGCCGCCCTTGTGGTAGTGTGGAAGAGGCTCGTAGAGACGCCGCATATCGTTGTCTAGTGTACCTCGAGGCGATGACCAGACCTACCCCCACCCTCCTCGAAGATGCTTGGTTCCGACGGCCGGATTGAGTCTGCCTTGTTTATTATAGCTCGTGCTAATTGTTATGCTATAGTCATCAAATAATCAAACTCATTCGACACATGCCTACAAGTTGTACTAATGCCTTATCCCCAAAATACCCCCTGTTGCCCAAGCTCGGTTTTGCGGGAATGTGGTGGCTTTGTCCAAAATACCCCGGACACTCACATTTCCGCCCATCTTTTAGGGGCACGCCCAAAGATTGTCAATTGACCCCCGCCATGTTTATATAATCCACCTCCCAACGAAGGGACCACTAAGCTCAGCCGTTTTAGTTTGTTGGGCGCTCCTCTACCGAGGATTCTGAGATGGCACTACATTCATGAGTTAGTGCCGAAGGGCCTTTCGTGAATCTGACACCGCAAAAATGAGCGGTCCGGTGCATGGTGCCAATGATAAAGCATGTGCATTTAAGGGGGAAGACTAGGACAAGTTAGGTCATAGGTCAACCGTTTACATGTTCGGTACGAGCCTTTGCAAAGGGGCGAGTGGTTTTAATCGTTATGAGGTACGTGCGGATTTGCCGAGACCAGCAATGGCTAGACGCTGCATTCAAAGCAAGCAGGGGTTTCGATAACCTCAGTACAAACTGATCGAGAGCTGGTCGAGTGTATGAAGGTGCGCATCTCTGCTGTAGGCCCGAGCGATAGACCGATGTGAGTAGCGTTAAAAGCTGTTGAGCCTTTTGTACCTACCACCAGAGAATTCGTGTTTGTGACTAATGAGGGGGGCAGTAAACTGCTTGACACCACCAGGAAGGCCATTATTATTTAGATGCGCTTGTTCATCATCGAAGAGACGCTAAACCAAACATCCAATAGTGGCACTAATAACACGTTTAATTAATGGTGTGTTAATAATAATAACTTCACGGAAGTTAGACAAGTTGTATATTAAATGGGCATAGGTCACCATTCCACCGACCATAAACAAATTACTGCATGACGTTAAACCTGATCAAATCAATAGAGATTGTTGTAGTAAGTGCCACTACGACGCATTTGGAGGGTCTCAAGTAGTTGACGGGACTGGGTATACTGATTTACAAAGGCCATGCCTTCCTTCCGTTGAGGGACCTGGAGGTGAATACCCGTGATGGGGCGCTAGCTAGCTCACTACAAGACCTAGATCAAAGAACTCGTGCGAGTTAGGGATGAGTCTCAGCAAAGACCTACACCAATCAGGGCTTTGGGAATTGTTAAAACGGTGTCGCCGACTAAACGGTGCCTAGTAATCACTCTATACTACTATTACTCTACTACTACTCTATACGGCCATTGAGAAACAAGTTCTTTAATGTATGTAGTATTTTTGGAAGCCCAATTGGAGTAGAGAAAGCGGTTTATAGGTGTCGCGCTGGTCAAAAAGCTAAACGACCCGTGTAATAAAAAGACAAGATTTAAAAAATAGATGTCCCCCTTAACTGAAATGGTACTTTTGACTCAATTGATTCTTCAGGGGTTTAAGCATGAATATCAGAAGTGATATTTTAGAAATAGGCATTTATGTACAGAAACAATTACATTTCAGAAAATTACTTTGCAATTCTAATGTTTGATCCGGGCTTATGAGCCATTTTGATTACTTTATCCAGTGCAGCCTGTCTATCTTTTGATTTTACAGCCAAGGCAACACGCATTTCGCGTTTACCAGCACGGACCCGCATTAACTTTTTCCGATGACGTCGCCTATCAGTGGATGTCACTTCTGTGGTCCCCTTGAGCGGCTCGCCACGAGGTGCAAGAATCTCCTCCGGTGCTAGAAGATCACATTGTGCAACCGCTGCGGGACCTGCCTCTTCCAACGCCAATGCTTGTTTGTTGGTCAAGATGTTGTAACCAGCGATTCGCTGACAAAAAAGTTGAGACTGGTGATGCACAAATTACGAATATCAGATAAAACATAACGACTATATAAAGAGCATGATTTCCTTCATAAACGTACTGACGAAATTGGTAAGATAAGTTACAGATTAGGACAGCTGGTCAGTAGCACATGACCACATATTCGTTTCTGAAATGATAGTGTCGAACCTTAGCGTTAAGTGTCAAGATCAAATATGGAAACTCGCACTAGGTGCACTTGTCATTACCACCTTTGGGAACCAACACAACATGAATTTTGTGTAGAAGAAACCGAGAAAGTTCTGAAAGGACTCCTATTTTACCCAAGAGGACGAATCAATGGATAAAACTTTAAAACATTTTAAGTGACAGGAACATCGATAAGACTACCCAATGATGATTTCCTGCTTAAGAAATCACCGGGTTGTCTGACTCAACCTAACACTTAAAAACGCTCTGCAATGAACCTATCTCGACCCAGCAAATGTACCCACGGATTTTCGTCGTCGTTCGACCATCAAGTCACCACCCACAACATTAACCCAAAACTATTATCACTTGCGACCAATACAAATTTCCATAGCAGGTATTTCAGCCAAAATGAGCATAAGTGCACCAAACCAACCTTTCGTGGAACAAAATGCATATTCGAGAGTGCATCCAAATTGTCAAATAGCGTTACAATTTCCAGCCGAAGAGCGTCCTTTTTTGGATCCTCTTGAACCTTTTCCAAAGCCTAAACGTAAAGCCTTACTGATGGATGAGAAAACTACCTTCGCTTTAACGTAGAGATTCTCATAATCTTCAACGAGAGATGTCTTGACAGTGTTAGTGTATTCCTTGGGAGTGACCACGACTTCCTTCTGCCTAGATTTAAAAACCGCACTATCGAATGACTAAAGCGAATTTTAGGTCAATACTATTTACCTGTTCGCGAATACCTTTTTTCAAGAATTCAAGGATTACGTTTTCGTCAATGGGGCCAGGTTCTATAAGTGTGACTTAAAATTATGTGATTTACTATAAATTGCGTGTCGTTGTACCTCAAAATGCTCTTCTAGTAAAGCATTTTCCGGCCGATCTTTGCTACTTGTTTCGCCCTGAAGGTACCACGGTTTTTGAGAAAGCATATTGCTCTCCAGAAAATCCATCTCCTTGTCTAACTACGGAACTATGAGAATCTACTAACTACCTTCTTAGTAAAATTTTCGAAATGCATCATGGCGAAAACTTCGGTATGAGTAAAACACGTTAAATAAAGTTTAAAAAAGGTTCTTCTTTCGCCAATGGGCGCTTACTGCACCCTTGCTGTTGCGCTTACGACAATTGCCCACACGTGCAAAGTACGATAAGAAAAAAGGCTGGAGAGCTCAATGCCTACCAATAGCATTATAGGAAAATTAACGTCGCAACGTTCAGTAAAACGAAATTAGATATTGATTAGCATTTCCTAGATTAGGCCGGTATTACTAAACTCACTATCAATCATGCGTGTTTACAGTTTGATCTAACTATTTCGAGCAGGGCAAGGCAAAAATAGTGTGCTTTCGTTGAGAGATTGAAAAATACTTCTTTGACAAATTTTTATTCTTGCGTAACAAAACCCTTGTAAATGAAAAAAACTGAAACGTAATTAATGTAATAAATAATTCAACGTAGTCTTATAATGATTAATTTTATTGGCTGTTACATCGATTTGAATAAGCTACTTAAAAGAGGGCTATAAGAGGGCTGTATTTGATATGAATACTACTTTTTAAGCAATCTCGCATCCCTACTCATGATCAGCAGATACCTAAGCTAAAAAATAAACACCAGATTCGGTGTGCACCAAACTTTTAGCAACGTTGCAGTACAGAGAAAATTTAAGGTTTTTCGAAATTAAATCGATATTGAACACTGAATTCGACTTAAAATAATTAGTTGCACAGACACTAATGACTGTATATAGATACCGGATGGCTCCAAAAGGAACGTAAGAAATTATCCAAGTTTTGTGTATCTACACACATTCCAGCGCATCTACTTAGTGCAGGCCCAAAGTTGGCTTTTTAGCTGCTAATAAATGTGTTTTGAAAAAAATACTTAAGAGGCTTCTATTAAAACCTTAGACTTTCTTGCGTTCAAAGTTTGCATACTGTGCTAATTGAAATAATGAACTGGGCCGAATGCTTTAACCCTTGATTGAAAACCTTCGGAGTCGAATAAGGTGGACGTAACATTAATATTATGCATAATGAGTTTCAAAAGTTTGTACTTCGCAAAATCCCAAATATTTTCTACGTAAAATTTTTAGTGAATCAAATTGCATATGTACTTTATTTGTCATAGACATTGATGTAAATAAAAATGACCATGGGCAAAATAATTATTAGGGAAAAAATGAATGCTATCAACGCATAATTTTTAGTTCCATTTTCCTCATTAATTTTATGTGTAGAATGCAATTTTTGGTAATATGTTAGTAAAGTTGCAGCGAGCGGGAGTTTTTAATGAGTTAAATGATCATGTTACTCGCCTTCGATGGAAGCTGAATTCGTTTTAAATACTTGCCGCAACTTAGCATTTACTTTGAAAGTCGATATTGTACTTTACTAGACCATTCTGATTCATTAAAATGATGTCGATTTTAACTACGGTACCCGCTCAAAGGGTCGTGGCACATAAATCTTGTTACGAATCGGAAAAAAAATTGAACCTAACCATAGCTTGCCTCCTGAAAGTCTTGGGTTTTTATCATTTGAAGCACTTTTTAACAAAGGTCGACTGAAAATGTTGAAATGGAGTTAAATAGGTAGTACTTAGTTTGTCATATAGGAATTCACTTACATTTCACGAAATTTTGCACCAATATTATAAAATTTCGAGGATCAATTTTGTTGTACAGATTAGGGCTGTTTGTACCCCTAAGCATTAAGAATGAACACTGTGAGTGCCTTTTAATCTAATTGGTTGTTTAATAAAAGCAACTTGTACGAGTTTGTAGGTTATGTAAATTAGGAACTTTGCTCACATTGAGCCGGTGGTATCACCCACACAGAAAATGTAAGTAGACTTTTGTTCATCCGCTCCACTCTGATATTGTATTATGGCAGTTGACACTGCAAGTCGATTTCGAAAGTTTATGTGAATTCAGAGTATGCGAAGTTAACTCAGCCATTAAATATGCTGATGTGATCTGCAAAATTCATTATGTAACTGCAATAAAACAGCAACATTTCGCAACACTAAAGGGATATTTTTATTTGCCTCTATTTACGACGTCCTGATTACATGCTGATATTGAGCTCAAGAAGCAAAGTGTGAATTTTACGTATTTTTATTCCACTGACTTGCTAATATATCAACAATTTCTTCAGCTGCATCAGCAAGGTGGTGCCAAGTTACTAAGTTTGAAAAGTTTTGCCACCTTTTATGCATAAAAGGGCTGTAAAACCGAGTTTCCACCGTAGATTTAACGATTTTGTCTCGATTTAGAGATACGACTGATGTAAGCTGGGGCAGGTGAGTGCTGACGATCCTCCAAAATAGGCTCATCGATCGACATGTATCCTGTAATGTAAGATTGATTTAACATTAATTTATCTTGCCGATATTGTGGCAATGGTGAAAATATAAATTAATTGTTTTGTTGCAATTTGAATACTGCATTATTTTAATTTCAATATTTATGCAGAAATGTATTCCCATTCACTTCAATCAAGTAACTCGTAAATGACGCAATAAATGTCTAGGCCAATTATCAGTTGTGCAAGATCTATTGGTTTCCATTGGTATACATTAGCACGTACACGTTCTGCTTGAAGAATTTTTCTTAGCTGCTTCCATGGGATAACTAAAAAAGTATTAGTAACAATTTTAGAGAAACGGAAACTCAGCGAGCAAAATTCGATGGACACGAGACGTACCTAAGTGGGGAATCCACTGTGGAGGACGTAAATAGAGTTCGTCGTTGAGGATGGAACACATCCTGTAAGACTTCCAAACGCATTTTAGAAGAACAGTGCGACTGTTGTACAAAAAAATTATGTTAGGATAATTTAATGTCATCAATTAAAAGTGAATCACAAACTTTGACTATACTTTTGATCTTGGTGACAAATTCACATACAAAAATGTAAGATCCGTCCCATGAATTTTGCTGGAACTAATACTACAACCATATAAAATCCTCTCACTCCGATGTCCAAGAAATTAACTCAGGGTGTCAGCGTTTTTAATTCCAAAACATCCGTGAAAAATGCCAAGAAAAGTTATAATTCGTGCAAGAGCAAGGCATCATCTACCATAAGTGAGTCTTCATTTCAAATTGACTCATTTTTAACAATGATGGAAGAAATGTGAATTGGTCAGATCCATCAGTAGGACATCGGAGCAGATTGCCTGAATCGCCACACTTATAGAGTCCTTCGTGATTCAACGCGAAAGTTTCCTAAAACGTACAATTTTTTTTAAAGTTGGCATTAAACGTACAAGTATATTTGTTTGTGTACATTTTGCTTTAAGGTCTACAAGGGATTAAGTATTAACTGAGGCCAGTAGAAGATCCCCATAGCGTATTAAACATTAATAAACTTACCCGACTTTACAAGACTTAACTTCTAATTAACAGCCATTGTATTTAGTACGAGGTAAACTATTTATTCATAAATGGGTTTTACCTCATTTTAAAGTCCTAGTTCTACCGTTTCAAAATAAAAACGTCATCCAATACGGACCACAGAATACAACAAATTATCAGAGATGGGAATTTTCTGTTTGCAACATTTTGGTGCCAACGTGAATGTAATTAAGTAAATCAACACCCTTCAAATGTCATGTTCATAAAATCCTGCAAAAGTTATTTAAATAATGTCCTGAAAGAATGGAAAACCTGTCTAAACTAATCAATAAAGTAATCCTAACTAAGAGCTTCCACTCATTTAATATTAACAATCTAGCTGAGAAGATTTATTTCATTTAGTAACGAGGGCTTAAACTGTATTAAGAAAAAAGGCAATCTATGTAAAAGGTGATTACAGAAATTCTTGTGATAAAAAAATCGGTTAATGGTAAGGCCTACGTGACTAACAAAGGATGAACTATTGACATTAAGCTTTTCGAAAATCCAAATTATCAAGTATCCACTTATTCACTTATGGAACTCGCAATAATCAAATATTGGCTAGTATTTAGCTCAAGACTCCAAAGTGAATGAAATGAGTAGCCGTTTGAGCCAACATCGATCTGTTAATTTTTGTCCTTGAAATTCTGCCAAGCAGGTACCTGTATTAATCAGCCATGGTCACATTAAAGAATGCACAAATCCAACCTGCTTAATCAAGACACCTTGGTAGCATATTCCAACCTGTAAAAATCTTCTTTGACTAAGGTCAAATTTAAATAGCCGATTAAGCAGCAATTGGCTTTGTACAGCAAAACTCACTTTAGAATTTTGTTTTTCATGGATCCCAACATCTGACATAACGTAACCAGGAGGGCGAAATTTCTGTTCAGACTGAGGAAGCATGGTAATGACATCGTCAACTATCTCAGTTGCCATTCGCATGTTTATTTCTATCTCTATCTATAAGGGTGTGACAAATACATAAATAAAGTATAATCAACTGCACAAGATTTTGCTAATTAAGAAAACTTCTACCTTTCGTTCAAATTGACATTTCCTCCACTCATAATTTTGATGAGTAATGGGCCAATATGCTATTCCCTGAAACTCAAACATGATGCTTGAACCAGGACCCAGTAGACTAGGTTCAGTACAGAGCACCCATGTTTCCGTATATAATCCTTCGTTAAACGATTGGAAGGAAACATGCAAAGCCTTTGATTCACCCGGTTCAATAACGCCTTCAAAAGAAATAATGGCAAACCGTACACTGCGTGTTTAATCCTGTTTTTGGTAAAGTTCTTAGAAAGTTGCAGTTACTGTTCTGTGTAGGAGAAGATCAACAAGATCACTCACAACGCAGCATTATATTTTTGAAAACCGAAATCGCTTACCAACGCTATTATTAAAGTAGAAACATGATTCCTCTTGAGGTAGAAGACTGGCGAAAATATTCTTATCAATCTTCTAGATGTACCAAAAAATGAATATAGTTTATAATAGCATATTTTGAAATTAAATGATCTGCAGAATACCTTCCACGAGTAAATAAGGCATTCCGTTCCATTGTTCCTCAGTCTAACTTGCTGATGAGAGGGATCCGCACTACTGCTCTTGAAAAAATAAAAGAAAACGCCATGATGGTGACAGGAAATCTTTACACTTTTGGTCTTAAACAAACAAATGCTACCACAGCTCTCAACAGACGCGACTAAAAATGACGTTGCCATGGGGGAACAAGAAGCGCAATAAATTAAAGGGATAGTATTGTAGATGAAGTGGAC